GCATGAGTCATATACTTTTTACTGTTGTCAATGCATAGTAAAGAATTGAATATAATAATTTTATTTTTACCGTTCCAGATTCTTTTTTTTCTTGTTTAAACGTGTAGTGAGATGTTGACACATAAAAAAATTATATAGTATGAAGACTCATATCATACAAGACAGTACATGAATATGATTGTATTAATACAATTTTATTTTACAAATTCCATTGATTGTAACATATCACAGAATGACTACTTATGATAGCAACAGAGAAAAATATGTGACATTGGCTCCTTGGTGTTACTGAAGATGGGTGTGGGTGTGGATATTGTATTATTCGCTCGCCTATGTCTACACCGACACTCACACCCAATATGATAGTGTAATAAACTCTGCTTTATTTAGTAAGATTTTCTTTATTGATTTTTTACAAGAACATTAATATGAAAAATAAATAAAAATAAAACTATATATTTCATAAAATCAGAGTAATATACAAGAATAGTATAATAAGAGATTGTTAAATATATAATTAATAAAATAGTTTTTAGTTGAGTGTAAGAATTATAGAGACTAAAATGTTAAATTAATTAAGAACAAAATAATGAATCACACGTTTCTTGTCAAGAGTGAGAATGAAAATATAAGTTATTTTTTTCTATTACGTTTCATTATACGCTTAGTAAAATATCGGCTGAACTTGTTCCACCACCAGCGTCATTGAAAAGCCAAAATGAGACATTATATGATTGACCAACGACTGTTGTAAATTTTTGACTCAAATAATCATTATTGTTTACAGCTCCATCATAATAAAAATACGAACCAGACTTTGGTGTAAGTGTATAAGAAACACAAAATAAACTGTGATAAACATCTCCAGCAGCTGAAGCACCATTTGGATTGCAATACGTCCATGATGAAAAGCTTCCTGTTTCAAAGTCATTATTAGAGATCAACTCAACAGTTGGTGCTGCAGTACTTCGTACGGATACGCTATCGATTGCAAAACAACCGTTATCTTCACGAAAAGAAAACGAAATTCGAGTTAAAGTAGCAATGGCTACATAAGTATATGAATGGTATACATATGGATGTATTGTTGGACAACTAGTGCAATGATAGAGTACAGTAACGCCAGTCCAACCGGATGTACATGTATTCGATGTGATTGCTTTAAAAGAAAATGTATATGTTAAAATATTATTTCGCCGTAAAATAATTACTTACAAGCAGTTGCTGCAGTCGTTGTAGGTGACATAGTAGTAGCTAAAGATTGAAATATAAGAAGTTCAGAGAATTAATTCTACTAATATGTATATGTATATAGATATAATGAAAACTTATAGAAAATATTTTTATAACAATGATATGATTTATAGAGTATATTGAATTATTTTCTTTCTTAAAAATGATTTAATATATTCTATTTCTCTTTTGCATACTTGGAATTATTGATTAACTACTGTTTATTGTATTTTCAATTTTGTTTTAAGAAAGAACAACTCGCAAATCTTATTTTTTTTTGTATTAAGATGAGTTAAGTTTTGTATTATATCATTCTATCTATGACTTTATATTTTTAGGATATTCGTTAACAAACCTACTTGCTACAGTGGTAGTTGCTACAGTGATAGTTGTTACAATGGTAGTTGTTTCAGTGGTAGTTGTCACTGATGTTGTCGTTGTCACTGACGTCGTACTTTCCGCTATAATAAATCATAATTTGATTTTCCTCATTTAATCAATTTTAAATTCTCATACTCGTCACTGATGTAGTTGTTTCAGTTGTCGTAGAAGTACTACTTGTTGATGTTGATGCTAAAGAAAGTAACAAACAATTGATTTTCTTTAAACTACACAAACTACTTACTCGTTGATGTACTGGTGCTTGTTGTGCGTGCTGAAATTTATATAATAATATTTCAATATCAAAATGAAAATCTTACTTGTAGAAGTAGTCGATGTGCCTATAATTTATCATAAACTAAGATGTTTATCATCGGGTAAGCAAGTTTTTCTTACTTGTACTTGTCGTACTCGTACTGGTTGTACTGGTACTTGTAGTACTGGTACTCGTTGTTGATGCTATTTGAGAATAAATTCATATAAAGAAATATATTAACAAAACAAGAAAACGTCTACTTGTTGTCGTTAACGTTGTTTTTATAGTGTTTGTCTTGTTTAAAATCAATATAGCGGTCAACGCTGTAATAGCAGCAAGAAGCAATGCCAGAAAAAGACCAAGTAATAAACAACAACATGGTGAACAACATGGACAACAAGCCGCAAAGCATCTACGACGTCGACGATTTGGTCGACGTTCTTTCTCCTTTTCTTCTGAATTGCAACGAACGTATCGTGATTCTGTATTATCATTATCGAGGTAATAAAATATTTTCGAACTAGTCAATCGTTGTTTCAATGATGAAAGACGGTTCGGAGCTGATTTAGATGAAAGTATTTTCGTATCAACTGAATCAGAGTCATAAGTAGACATTTTCGTCTACAAAACAAATTATTTTTTTAAAATGATTGATTGAACTATTAATTTAACCTCATTTGTTTCACTTGAGTTTGGCGATATCGAAATACGTCTTCTAATCTAAAGAGACAAAATCTATCATACTATGATAAAATTTTCATGTACTTTGTCTTCAGGAGATGTAGGAGTGATTGAAATTGGTATATGCTCGTGATTAAGTGAATCATTTAAGTCTTGAGAACCTTTTTCAGATAATTTAGATTGATGTATGTCGCCATCGATAGCTTGTTTTTTTCCTGATTTTGGAACATGTACGACTGATACGTTTGTTTGCGACTTTATGGCACTTTTAGGAGACCGAAACGATGCTGAAGCTATTGATTCGATATTTTCCACCTTATCATAATCGTCTGACTTTTTTTCTGGAGCAACTCGTCTGTCATGTAGAAGATGAACACCATTGTATTTTGTTTGTGTCTAAAAAAATAGATTATAAAATATGAGTTAAAACTGTCTTTTTTTTTATAAAGACTAAGAAATCAAAGGTTAATTTCATGTTATAAAATAAGCACACTTACATTCTGACGGTGTCGTCCATATTGAAACTTTATTTTCGGTAAACGATTAACAATTGGGTTTGAATGCATTCTTTTAAGTATTAATAAATAACTGTGCTATATCAATATATTTATGTTTGTCTAAAATTTTGAGTTGATTATTTATATATCCACTAGATAGTTCTCGTTTCACTTATTCAATCAAAATATTAAAAACAAACAAAACCTTAATATATACAGAAACACCCAAAAATATTATTTAGAGGGGTTTCATTTTGTCATGAACAATCATATGAGTGTGCTGTTTTTCAACAATCGATAGTTAATTATACAATGCTAATAAAAAAAATATATATAATAAACCTACTTTTGCAAGACATATGATCATATTTCTTTTTTGTTTGTCTTGTTTCCATGCAAGATTTTATGAGCTTCACTTGTTTTTATTTTATCACTTTGATTTATACTTATTATTTTATTTTTAATTTACAAAGAAGACTCACAGTAGCCTGTCACATGATGGAAACTGTGACACAATAAGATGTAAACAAAATCTTGGAAATATAGAAGTGACGATAATCCAGATGTTTTCAATTTCATTCATCTGTCTTATTCTGCAGGAATCTTTTAACGTTCAATAGTTGTTTTAAAAATTTATATCATTCATATTATTCAAATTATACTGATAAATCTTCTACGAATGGTAAGTATTAGTCCTAAAATATTTAATATAAAAAAGAATTAATTCATTTATTGAAAATTTTTATTATATATTTCAAAACAAAAATAAAATATAAGAAAAAAAATCTATTATAATCATGTTTGTCAATTACAGTATATGTTATAACAAGAACAAAAACAAAGTCGATAATATGATTTCGTAACAATCTATTCGAATAATAATGATATAAATTTTCTTTTGTTACCAAAATAAATATATTTACTTAGCTCAATCCAACAAAGTAACAGTGGAAATATCGTAATTCCGTATTATATAATCTAATCGAAGAAAAAAATGCTCTATTTTTCTACTTCAACTAATATCATAATAATAAATTTTCGATAAAAAACATGCTGATTAAATAATTACTTTATGTTCTTTGTCCCTCTTAATATATACGAGTTGGTTTTCATCGAGCAAACATTGATTAATTTTGCAGCACGATTTTCTGATTCAGTTTGATTGACACAAATATATCGACCAACATCTAAAGTCACGCAATGTACTTTTTCGGTTTAGAATCTTGAATATTATAAAAGAATACATTTTTCAAATAAATAAATTTTTTTCTGTTTCAATTCAAAAAGTAAGTATAACTTAAATATTCATCGTTCATTGATAGAAATTAAAAATACTGTAGATAACAATATCACATACCCTTAGAAGTTAATGATTAATAATTGTTCCAAACTAATTGACAGAATGATATCTACACATATTCTACTCATGTGATATTTATTCATTTGTATTACTTTTCTTTTTGAATCGTTTATTATTTTTATTTATGTGCATGGTTATTTTTTATATTTAATATTAAAAGAATTTTAATACAAACAACTTTTTAAATAATTATACATGACTTCTAAAATCATGATATGCAGTTTTCGTTATAAATTACATCTACAATTCCAAGAGAAAATATTAAAAGCATGTTGAACATGTGAATAA